TTATTAAAAATATATAATTGTTTTGAACTTCATTGTTACATACTTTGAAATATGTTATAATAAATTAGTTACTGTTTATTAATTACATACGTTTTTATGGCCAATTAATCAATACGGACGACGTTTACTCAGACTGACAACTTCCTTTTATTCCAGTAACGCTTGTACATATTTCATCACGTGTAATCATGGAGTTATTAGTTGAACCATATTCCGTACATGAACTATTCCGTTATTTAGAGGGTTAGTCAGTCAGGTAAAGACGGTTTCCGCCCTAAAGTCCAACATAGAGGGCTCACTACTAATATTAACGAACACAACATCCCGGGGTCCAGTTGCTCCTGTAAAGAGCAACGACCTTACTATTATGTGTTCAACAACATATCATAACTCTCCATCTAATAGCGTCATAACCGTCATTTACCTTCAAACTTTCTTAAAACAAATTAATTAAATACCAACAATAACACTAAAACGAATATTAAAACTAATTATAATGTATCTAAAGTCATTTCACTCTCTATAATTAAGACAAATTGGAGAATCACAAGTTTAACTATCGATTAAAGTCCACTGATTAAAAAGAAACAAACGTTCTAAACCAATGATTTCAACCTGGGGTAAATCCAGCTACACATGCTTCATGGTTTCTATAAAATTATTTGAAATCAATAATGGTGTAACTTTTGATTTATTATGATATGTGTTAATCTGTTAGATTATACCTTTAGCAATGAATTTAAAGTTCAAATAAATGAGAATATTCCAACATTCTCCGTAAATCATATTATTGCTGTATATTTTGGGCAGCGCTTGGCTTGCACACTATCAACGGCATTATTATGGCCTGTCAATTTCAGACAATAATTACAGAGAATTATCTTCTAAAAGCAAACAAATCTTGGAGATTGGTCGTTTAAGTATACCAGACTTTGTTTTCAGTTTCACACTTCGGACTAGCCCATGGTTGTCCGCAAAGACTTCTATCACTAGACCCATAAGCCATGAGTTGCGAGGTGCTTGCTGATCAATAATGAGTACAACATCTCCGGCACGCACATTTCTCCTTGGTTTCATCCACTTCTCTCTCAATTGTAGGGTGGTTAGGTATTCTTTTGTCCACCGCTTCCAGAATATATCAGCTAAGTATTGAACCTGCTTCCATCTTTTTCGTGCGTAGACATCTTTTTCGTTAAATTCTCCAATTGCATTACCTGCAGGCTACAGTAGTAGCAAAGAATTTGGAGTAATTACATCTAAATCATTTGGATCATCTGAATTTCTCGTTAGAGGCCTATTATTGACGATCGCCTCCACTTCACACATGAACGTGTTCAACTGTTCATCAGATCCAGTCGTTTTTATAAACTGCTCATTCAACAGACTGTTGAGGATTTGCCGTATTGTCCGTATCTGCCTCTCCCACACGCCTCCAAAATGGGAGGCAGACGGTGGGTTAAATTTCCATTCTATCTCTCGGTTGCTTGCAAATTCTTGCATCTTCTTCTTACCGATGCATTCAAATTCTGCCTTGGCCCCCACAAAATTTGTGCCGTTGTCTGAGGTAATGTGTTTTACTTGGCCACGCCTTGCTATAAAACGGCGCAAAGCATTAATACAGGAACTGGTATCCATAGATGCAGCTACTTCAATATGTACAGCTCTGCATGCTATACATGTGAAGATTACCCCGTATCTTTTTCTACAGGCCCTTCCATATTTCACTTCGAAGGGGCCGAAGTAGTCTATGCCGGTGTTCGCAAAAGTTGCGTCAGGTTGTACACGTTCCACAGGCAAATTAGCCATTAACTGCTCAATGGACTTTGCTTGTTCACGCCTGCAAATAGTACATTACTTCACAATGCTCCGGACTAGTGTTCCAACTTTCAATACCCAGTACTTCTGTCTTAGTACTGACAGAACGTAATTCAATCCTTGATGGCCAATCCTTTTGTGTATGTGTTGGATGATTAGGGTAGTCACATGATGATCTCTTGGAAGAATGATCTGGTGTTTCATATTTTCGGGAATGGGTGCATTTTCTATTCTGCTCCCCAACTCTTAGAATTCCCTCATTTAGTTTAGGGTTTAGTTTAGTTAGATTGCTGCCTTTACCCAATTCCTTTTGAGGGAAATTTGTGGTTTGCACATATTTGATTATAGCAATCTCAACTTCCTCCAGCTTCCTAGCCTTAAGTAGATGACTTTCCTTCATCTTTCGGAGCATGTCTTTTAGAATGATATATTATGCCATAGCTCTCTTCAATTTTGTCCAATCGGAGTAGTGTCGTATTAATCTATTCAAAGGACTGTGTTGCGGTCGCTGCTTTAGCGCCTCTTAAAGTTGTTTTGTGTCATGTGCTAACACTCCAATAACAAAATCTTCGTACCCTTAGGTTTACTGAAAGTAGTGGGCATTTATTCATCTCAAACCTATGAATATTGATACCGTGTACAAACGTAAACTTAGTGTGGGTACATAGCCCGGTGAACTCGTTCTGCTTCAACAGTGTTTATAAAACTATTCTAAACAGTAAACTTTGTTTACGAATATTTCTCTAGCAGCTTGCATTCCGTGGTTCTAGAACATCTCTTTCCTGCCGTAGCTTAGGGCTGTGCCCGTTACCTTGCCAACACTTTAGAGAGGGCAGCAAAATAGAAAAAACCAATAGGCGACAGCAATTACACTCCTCGCCGCAAATGACCAAGTATGCGCAAGCACTCTTGAGCATTTGCACACCTGTCAATACTAAATTTAACTAAGTTAGCATTCAAACATACCAGGTAATGAACATTTTTAATTATTAATAACCGATTAGTGTCCAACAATGAGTTCTTTTGTAAACAGATATAACACTTGCTGTCCAACACTGACTTCATGTGACCATCATAGGGGTAGACAACCCTCAGGTCCAAACACATGGGCATTATTCTGGTCCATATAAAAAAAAAAAACAGAATTAGCTAAGTTCCAGTAAAAATTAAAGTTTTGATCAACTTCTTCATCTGCAATCATTTCAATTCACATAGATGCAAAGTATAACTTCTTGGATGTACTTAGCTGGATTCATCATTTAACAATAACACCAACTTATGAACTGGCCTGTCCAAAACTGAAGTTGCAGTGGTCAACTGAACTTCTGTCTCTTATACACATCTAGATGTGTATAAGAGACAGATCTCTCGGTTGCTTGCAAATTCTTGCATCTTCTTCTTACCGATGCATTCAAATTCTGCCTTGGCCCCCACAAAATTTGTGCCGTTGTCTGAGGTAATGTGTTTTACTTGGCCACGCCTTGCTATAAAACGGCGCAAAGCATTAATACAGGAACTGGTATCCATAGATGCAGCTACTTCAATATGTACAGCTCTGCATGCTATACATGTGAAGATTACCCCGTATCTTTTTCTACAGGCCCTTCCATATTTCACTTCGAAGGGGCCGAAGTAGTCTATGACTGTATTTGCAAAAGGTGCGTCAGGTTGTACACGTTCCACAGGCAAATTAGCCATTAAC